TGTGCAGAAACACCAAGGTTCATGCACCCATGGCGTGGGTGATGTGTGGCGTGGTAGAAACAGCATTGGGATCTGAGGCAGATTAAGTGGGGAAGTCTGGACTTTACCCAGTGGGCAGTTGGGACCGCGAAGGTATTTGCATAGAGAGAACAGTTGGATGGGGATGTCCTGGAGGAAAATTCATCTCCAGTCTGTGGAGATGGGACTCAGGAGAGGGTGAGGCAGGTGGCGGAAGTTTATCCTTAAGAGTCCTGTGGAAGAGTCTGAGAGAGAAGACATCAGCCCGAGAACAATGGGACAGGAGAGATGGAGGCAGGGGTCAGCATGGCACAGTCGCAGGGCTTGGGGAGGAGGAGGAAAAAGGAGGAAGGAGATGACAGTGAAGTAGAAACCTTGGCAAATAGTGAAGGTGTGGACCAAGACGGAGAGGCAGGAGAGCTTTTCATCAGGTGTTGTTGGGGCCTGGACCCCACAGACTCATGCAGCCTCCTGAGGCTGTGGGAGCTGGGTGGTAGCAGGGTATGGGTTCCCTGCATTGAGGAAGCTTGGGGGAGCGGTGTCTTAGTGGAGGCAGTGCCGGGGCACAGTCCTTGCTTTCTCTGGGCTATGCTGGACTGGTTGGGCCTCCCCAGTGGGAGAGGAAGGTCAACCAGAACTCTGGGGGTTGCCAGCCAGGGTCACAGTTAAAATCAGGTGACGCTGCAGCCCACACAGAGAAGACTGCAGGGGCCAAAGAGTGTGCGGAGGATAAGGGGGTGGGGGGGGTGGCCAGATCCCTCCGTTCCCAAACCTGTTGTGCCCTGGATGGGACCCTTGGGCCCTTAGCTTGGGCAAAGCTAAGAGCAGGCCAGGCTACTGGGTGTGCCCATGTGCATGGGTTGATCTATTTGGCAGCATGGCTCGTAGTCCTGGGACAGTGATATTCAGTAGAAACCAAAAATGGCATTCGATCTTGAAAAACCACACTGCCACATAAAGACTGGTTGCCAAAGGCAGCGATCTTCCGGTTGACTAGTTTTCAGTGGGGATGAGGGGAAGAAAAGAAAAATCGAAACTCCTTTAGGAAAAGAAGATGTGAAGTCAAGACTGAGACATGACAAGAAGAATTGCATTATACAAACTCTACAGCCACTTAGGTGCACAAGGCTGGTGGGCTGAGTTAAAGAGCTGCCTTGTCTCTCCTGGATCTGGCTTTCTCCCCAGGGAACCCCTGCCCCGCCACACAGCAGACTCCGAGACAGTGGTGGGTGCCTTTGGAGCAGGGAGCAGGGCTGTGGCCGGGCTCCTCCTTAAAGACAAGCGTGCTCTTCCTCCCTCAGAACTCTTATTTCTCATTTTCATTGTCTGGGTTAAGAGTGCGTGTGACTGAGCAAGTGAGCCAAGACAATTCTCTAGCAAAACGGCTTGTGATCTCGTCACAGGGAGTGCAGGCTGCCGTGGCATCTAGGCGTGTGCAGAGCTGGCGTGCTCGGGGAGCGTCAGGTGGCACCCTCATGAATAAGTTACTAGCTGGTCGGATCACAGGCCTCTGCTCATTCTCACGCACCACTTCACTGCACCGGAGCCCCTTGTCCTGGGTTGCTCAGAGAATGTTTTGTGGCCTTTAGCTTCTGGGACAGCAT